CGGACCAGGCTCTCACATCACCAAGCGCGAAGCGCCGTGAGATATTCGGCGAGTCGCATGAAGGGTGCGCTGCATCCTGCTAAGGGTTTTCGGCATCTTGTGCTTACTTCCTTGCGAACGGATGACAGCTGCGTTATTATGAATTAATTTATTTTCTGGTGCTTTCACTTCCAGAGACAGTTGTAAGCACTGTGTAACTGCCTCGAGGGTGCTTGACCACCGAGGGGGGGGGGTTGTTTTACAACGTCGTTGCCAAGCGACGAAAACCCAACCCCGATGGCAAACGCCGGGGGGGGGGCATTCCTTTGCCCACCATCTGGAGACTTTGGGACTTCGACTTGGACGAGCCGAGCGTAGAGTACCCTTTTCGCGCCCTGGTCGGTTCGCTGTTGTGGATTGCCTTGTTGACTAGGCCGGATATCGCGAATTCGGTGAGAGCAGTGGCGAGGTACTGTTGTGCACCGAAGTTGATCCACTGGAAGGCTGCACTTAGCATTTTAGGATATATATGCAGTTAGGACTAGTTCTTTGGGGATTTCTTTTCAGAGGGGGACGGTTTCGGGATTTTCTTTGATTGCGTTTGTCGACGCGGACTACGCTTCCCGTGCGGCAGATCGTAGGTCGGTTTCGGGAGGGAGGGGTAGTGATGTGTGCAGGAGGGGCGATTGCATGGTTCTCCAAGACTCAGAAGTGTGTGACTTTGTCTACCACGCAGGCAGAATACGTGGCGATGGCGGACATGGGGAATGAGATTTTGTTTTTGAGGCAGGTTTGGCGTTTCATGTTGCCTAAGGAGTTGCGGCCGTGCATTCCACTGTATGAAGATAACGAAGGGGCTATCCAGATCGCAAAACACCCGATCTCGAATTCCAACTCGAAGCACATCGACGTGGGGCATCACTTCCTCAGGCAGCTCGTAGATGAGAAGGAGGTAGAGATCATCCACGTAGCGTCAAAGTATCAGCATGCCGACTTCCTCACGAAGGCGCTACAGAGAGAGTTTGTTTCCCACCGGGACTACGTGATGAAGTTGAAGTGAATAGTCCGGGAGATCTTTTTCGTTTTTGGGTCTTGTGTCTTTTGTTTTTTTTTCTTCGATTTTTGGTTGTTCTGTTGATTTGTTTGATTTTCTGAGAAACCGAGTTTAAGATTGACCGGTGGAAATTGTCGCAAGTGTTTCTGGCTTAATGGTTGGCAATCATGCAAACCGATAGGAATTCTAACGAATGTTTCTGGTTCAAGGGTTTTATTTAGTATTGTGACAAGAATACAGTTTGGGATGAAGGGAATGTCTTGCACTAAATTTCATTTCGGTCAGGTGTGTGAGATGTATGGGATGATAATAAGGATAGTATATTAAAGTCCGGGTCTGGTCTTGTCAATGCAGCGAGTAGGGGGGCTGTTAGGCGTACTCACAGCTTCGACAGATTATTGCAAGCAAGAAATTTCCGAGCAGATGGAGCGGGGAGTTTGGGGGTTCAGCAGTTGCTTTGGATTCGATTTGATAGTACCAACTTTGCCGTATATTACAGGATTGAGGGTGGGGGTATGTTTGTGTCTACAACGGATATGGTGATTGTGCGTTGTGGTTTCTCACTTGTTTTTGTTTCCTCTTCTTCCTCCTTCCTGTGTGCAATCAAGTCCTTTTTCCCCGGCTATCACGCTACCACGGCTATCACGCCACGACTTCCACGCCAATCCTGGCTATCACGCCACCCGGCTATCACGCCTTCCGGACATCCACGTCCTTACTAATACACATACACCACGACTATCACGTCACCAGGCTTCCACGCCACATCCAGAGATACCATACCCGAGCTATCACGCTCCATCCCAAAGTAGAAGGCTGTCACGCCCATCATAGTTCCTACACTGTACCGTTGGCGGCTACCGCGCCGCTGGCTCTTTTGTTTCCCAACCAAGGGACCCCGCGCGCCAAGGCACCGACGCACAAAGCTACTCAACA